ATGAACAGCCCACGTTCTTTAAATGACCCCTGATATGGTAATTAGTACAGTCTGATATCGATTATCAGGTATGGTACTCAGTAGAGCATCAATGTGGTTACTGGCTCATCATTCATGTACTATCCAACTTGGTTGGCTCGAAATTGTTCGTCCAATTCAATCGAGGCCCGTCCAAACTATGTGCATTGTCAAAGCTTACAAGTTGTTTACACATTTCTTTCATGTAGCTTTAACGATAGAGTACATGATGATGTCGTTTTTTTTGTTTTTTTTTTTTTTTTGCGCGGTAACGGTATACGGTGATAGCAGATCTTATTGTTTGGTGCTTGAGTTTGACGTAATCAATAGCTAAGGGAATTGATACGGCTACATGCGAATTCGTCCGTCCACCTCACGCAACAAACTAAAGGATTAAGTCCACTTTTGACCTCTCAATTATTATATTGGTCTAATTTTGACCCTCAACTACAAAACCGTCTGGTCCAGGAACCTCAAGTTTGAAAACCGTTCACTTTTAACACCTGGGCGCGGGTGAGGCTGTTTTATCCAACGTGGAGCGGTTTTGTCCAATGTGGGGCCCACGCGTCATCGACTCAACCGAACCGGCGTAGTAGCAGCCGAGGTTGATGCCGCCAACGGGGATGGAGACTTCCTTCTCGCCGTCGATGCCGAGCGCAGCCACACCACCATGCCTGATGGAGCTCGTGTCTGCCCCGGCTCACCGCGTTCGCCCTCTCCGCTGTCGGATCTCATCGTCGTCCCTCGTACGCCCGCCCCAGCATCGTTCGCACCTCGCACAACATGGTGGCCCGCAACCGCCCCGGTTCGTCGCGGCCGCGCCGTTGCATGCGGAGCTCGCGCACGGTCGTCACCAGGGCCGCCCGCGGAGCTCGCCCATCCCTGCCGTCGTCGGAGCTCGAAGCCGCCGAGCACTTCACGCCACGCTTGCCAAAGCCACGCCGTCGGAGCTGCTTCCTGACCTCGCCGCCGGCAGGCACCGCACTGGAGCTGAGCATTGCCAGAGCCGCCCGCGCCTTGACTTGCCGCAACGGCCGCACGGACGAGAATCCCGCCGGAGCCGTGCCGCCAAGCCGAAGCTCCTACCGTCTCCTTGCTCTGCTCCTCTTTTACCCTCTGTTCCTCGCCATCGCTTTGCTCTGCTCTACTCCTCCCTCCTGCTTTCTCTCTCTCGGACGCACAGAGGAGCCGTAGTTTCCATCATGCGTGCCGGATCCCATGCGCCTTCCTCCCCATCGCCAGCAGCTTCCCTTCCCACGCGCGCCCGACCCTGCGACCTCGGCCGCTGGACGCCTTCGAGCTACGGCTGTGGCCGCTGCACGCCTGCCTCCCCATGCGCGCCCGGTCAACGCCGTGGAGGTCCGGCCGTGGCCTTGACACCATGGTGCTCCGGCTGTGGCCGCAGGACGCCTGCCACGCCGCCGCCCGCCTCCCGTCGTGGCCGCTGCGGACTCGTGTGGACGTCGGCCGGAGCTCTCGCGGACGTCGCGGATAGGGCCGCCTCGCTCGCACGACCGGAGCTCGCCCATCTCGTCTCCGTCTCCTCTGCGCTTCGTCCTCCTCCTCCTCGGGTGCTCCTACGCCGCCGGCAACGGATCCGGCGGGGGTGGTGAGGATCTTGTGCTGCGCATCGCGGAGGATGAGCGGGTCGTGGGACCGCACAGCCTAGAGTGGAGTCGCTGCCGGAGTCCCCTCCGCACCGGGGCGGCTGCTACGATGGCAGATGCGATGGCGTCGTGCGAGCGGTTGGCGTTGCCGCTGCGAGCAGGCGCCGTCGTCGTCGCTGCGGTCACGCGGACTCCCAGCCATCCCGGCGCGAGCGGGGGCCCCAGCGGCCGCGACGGCCCGGTGCAGGCGGGGTGCGGGCGCGGCTCTGGTCTAGGCCATCCCTTCGCGGGTGGGTGCCCCAGCGGCCCCTGCGACCCCGTCGCCGCCAGCGGTGCGGGCGGCACATGGCTCGCCACGGCACCCATGCTGCTATGTTGGCTGCTCCCTACCCCTGCGCCGCGCTTAAGAAGGATGCGAGCCTGCGCACGGCTCCTTGCTCGACCTCCCGCCTCCCTCTCACCTTCCCCGTCGCCGTTGCGCGGCCGTGCTGCGCCGCTGCAGCAGGGCCTGCGCACGTGGCCAGCAGACCACGGACCGCCTCCCGCCGAGCTGCGGCCGGCCCTGGTACCACGTACCCATCCTTGCCTGCGCGCAACACCACCTACCTCGCCAGGTCCGCCCCTCCCCGTGCTCGGCTTTCCAGCGTACGGCGAGAGTTGGGTCTTACACATGGGCACCGTTAGCCAACAGCTCCAAATTCCTGTTTTGACCCACGCGTCCGTCGGTCAACGCCGGCGTGGCGAGTTAAAACCAGGCACACGTCAGCACAAACCGTCTCAATCGCGTCGAGGTGCTAAAACTGAACGGTTTTGAAAGTTTCAGTGGCTGGATCAGACGGTTTTGTAGTTGGAGGTCAAAATTAGACCAACATGATAGTTGTGGGGCCAAAAGTGGACTTAATCCCAAACTAAATGAATAGATATTTTCTGTTAAATAGTAACAGTCTAACAGATAGCACCGTACTACTCTTTTGAGTAGTGCCTTATCCACCTTCGACAGTATCAGTTAGCTCAGCTATTCATGCAACAAACCAAATGAATAGTGGTTTTCTGGTAAATAGTGACAGATAGCACCGACAAATAGCTCCGTTATCATTAACCACTCTTTTGACTAAATGTGAACCAAACAGCACCCTAGTTAGTCCTATATGATATCCACCGGTTGCAGGGCACTTCGCCAGTACGGTGTAGTGGTGTACGGTCACATTTTCAAACCCCTGGGAGACCGGAATCAACCCGAAGGCGGAAATTGACCGTTGTAGATTCAGTGAAAGCCCTCTGCGGTCATTTCTCCTCTATCTTCACGGATGAGTCTGACGACAGGAGCGACGGGACCCACAACTCGAGGCAGTGCAGAACAGGCTCCACATTACGAGCCCAGGTAAAACAAGGTGAATTCAACTGAGGTGGTGAATCGCTCGCTTCCAGTGGGCCTGCTGTAATCTGGAGCCACCGTAAGGCCGTAAGCCACACTGAATGAACCAGGCAGTCAGCCTGATGTACGGTGGCTCTCGTCGACGGCTTCCAGTTCCAGCGGCAGCGCATCGTTACCGCCCTGACTCACGGACTGAGGCCTGAGGGTGCGTGCGACACCCGCTGGTTGGCCAACACGTGGACCGGAGGACGACAGGTGTAGGAAGCGGACTCGTTTACCTTCCTCGGCGGCGGCGAGTCCTATCGGTGTCGGAGACGCACGAGTAACTTCGGTGTCGGGCGCCGGGCTGCGTGCGCCGACGTGGTTCGCAGGTGAGGGCCTGTTTAGGCCCAGTTGCACCCTAAATACCAAATTTTTAAACATCGAATCTTTGGACGTATGCATGAAACATTAAATATAAATAAAAAATAAAACTAATTACACAGTTTAGATGAAATCCACGAGACGAATCTTTTAAGCATAATTAGACTATGATTGGACACTAATTACTAAATAACAACGAAAACGCTACAGTAGCATTTTGCCAAAAAATTTGGCATCCAAACTGGCCCTTAGTTCTCAAAAAAATTTGCGCAGTATCCATCACATCGAATCTTACGGCATATGCATGGAGTACTAGATGTAGACGGAAAAAAAACTAATTGCACAGTTGGGTGAGAAATCGCGAAATGAAACTTTCGAACCTAATTAGTCCATAATTAGACATTAATTGTCAAATACAAACGAAAATGCTACAGTAGCCAAAACCCAAAAAAAATTGCATCTAAACGCGCCCTGAATCATGATCATCTACTAGCCTCGTCGTTCGAGTAGCTGCCGCCCGGGGGTGGTTATCCAGGCCCTGTTTAGTTCCCAAAAATTTAATGTCACATCGAATCTTGCGGCATATGCATGGAGCATTAAATGTAGACGAAAAAAAAACTAATTGCACAGTTTGGTTGGAAATCGCGAGACGAATCTTTTAAGCCTAATTAGTCTATGAAAAGCCTTAAGTGCTACAGTAACCCACACGTGCTAATGGTCGGTTAATTAGTATCATTAGATTCGTCTCGCAGTTTCCTGATGGGCTCTGTAATTTGTTTTTTTATTAGTATCCAAAAACCCCTCCCGACATCCTTCCGATATGTCCGATGTAACACCCAAAAATTTTCACCTCACCGACTAAACACCCCCCCAGTAGGCACACAATGCACTGCTAAGCGCGCACCAATAATACGAGGATTACACTCTAATCAATCAATCAGAATGACAACTGAGAGGCTTACACGTACTTGGATCCTTCGAACTCCAATGACATGTGATTTTTTTTTTGAGAAACACTCCAATGACATGTGATGGACCAAAGAAATTACTAACATGGTTTTGGAGTGCCCGGACCAAAGAATGTTGCAATGGCAGGAGGAACATCCAAGCACGACGGCCCAAAGAAATTACCTAAGACTCCAACGAGGGATAGTGATGTTGCAAAGGCAACAGCAACATACAAGCAAACACTTGATGCAAGCGGCAGAGATAGATTTATTACTGCACGTACTCGTCTAAAGAGCTCATTTAACCGCTAAGAAACTGCATTGAGTGCATTACTTTAATCAGACCGAACAAGTCTCGTCTGAAGAATTTACAAAATGCATGGTCAGAGCTCAGACCTACTGATATAAATCTAGGAGGTAATTAGCACAATGCCAGTTACAAAGGAAAATCAAAGATAGATTACATGTATAACTTAAACTGCTTGCTACTTAAGTACTTATCTATCATCAGCAATAATCCTCAAAGCTTCAGAGTTAGCTAAGCTACCACAACGGCATAGGATACTGACACATGAGATTGTCAGATAGGCAGATTAAAGCTGTTCCTGGGGCAGATCATCACGATGTACCATTCAGTCCCAAAATGCACAGTTCATTACTTGTCATTGTCAATCAAGAAGGGCAGAGCCATCAATTACTTTCTTTATCGGAGTCACTGACTGCATCGAAGTCAATCTTCCGACAAATGTCTGGGCTGAGTTTTAACGCTTTAAGAGATGGTCTCAAAGGTGCACCTGGGCATGTGGATGCAATGCCAGTAAGTAGAGGCTTCGAATCAGGTGTCTTGCAGCTTCCATGTAGGCCTGAATCCGTCACATTCTTTCCAGTTTCTTCTTGTCCATCAAGAGGGCCATCTACAATTAATAGATCCAGGATCATCTTGTGAATCACTTGGAGATATTGATCGTCCTCATCAGAATCACTAGAATCAAAACTTAACCTTTTAACTGGGTAGTCACCTGAATCAAAATTTAGCTTCCTACGAGGTGGAACTTCAGCACCTCTAGCCACTTTCTTCTTTGGTGCACAGGCCGCCTCCTCGGGCCCTGGAGCAAATGGATCAAAGATGCTTTCACGTGGTGTCTCACAACCCAATGAAAGACTATCATCAGTAGGCTTGCTTGAGATTGACAATTCAAGTATATCTCCCCTTGGAGAGATGGCCTCAGGAACATCGACCTTGTTATTTTCAAGATAACAAATTATACCAGGGGATTCTTTCTCTTCCTTATTTTCCAAGGGAACTAGCAGAAAGGGTTCCTTGCTCAGATTCGTTTCCACCCTTTCTATGACTATTGAATCACAGCCCACAACTTGCGAGGTTTCAACCTCACTCTTATCCACTACAAGATCCGGTACGAGTGGTACAGTCTCAAACCCCATGATATGGTAAAGAATATTATTGCAGAACAAACGTTGACACAAAAGTGATGTTTAAACCGTGCTTTTAAGGCAACCCACCACTGGTCTTCAATATATACCAGTGTGCTACAACCTGCAAAAAAGTAGACAGTGCAAAACTTAATTCAGGATACCAAACAAATTATGCACAAGCACGAGAAAAAAAATATATTAATGCAATAGGGTTACCACATATACCAGTTACTATTCAAAACATATATGTTCAGGCTCAAGTGCTCAACAATTAACACAGGCTGTAAGGGAATTATGAACTAATGGAAACAATACATTTTCTTAACCCTGCAATTCACTAATCCCACCATCCCAGTATTTCCATAAACAGCTACTCTTTAGATTGGGGCAACCCAGCCTCAGAGATGACAAAAAATAAAGAAAGTATTCAACCATCAGTCGAGTTGAACTACAGATATACCTTTTTCCTTCTATTGGCCATAAACTTTTGAAAAGCGACACCAATTGACAAATGCTAGAAAAATCGACATATATTAACAAATGCTAGAACAGCATATAGCTTGTAGCAGAAGATCCAAATAGCATCTGAATATTTATTATTTATATACTCCCTCCGTTTTTTTATGTGTCGCATTTGTTTTTAAGAAAAAGTAGGTAATAGATGTCGTATTCTGGTCTCATGGTTTTGTTCCTAGCGTCGTGAGTTAAAACGCCTCGATTCTTCCACGCACAGTTAAACCTGCATGCAGCCATGCAGGAGCTAGCTTGCATGTTGCGGGTGAGCTACCACGCACAAGTGCCAGGCGGGACGTTGGCGAGTGCTGCGTGCGTGCTTGGCTTGCATGGGCCATGCAGGAGTAATTGCATAGCGCTGTGCACGAAGGGGCATAACCGGATGAAGTACAGAAACGAGAAGACTTGGTCTGTGCACCAAAGCCAAATGCGACACTTAAAAAAACAGAGGGAGTATATATAACTCAATAAGCATTTTCTAAAGGCCCCAACATAACATCAAACAAAATCACAGTAGTTCAGGTTCAGATAACATTCAGGTCCGAGCAAAAGCCAAATCCACTGGCTACCCTACGCTCCAAATCCTCCAAAACAGGAAAAGACATGCCCCCATATTGCCATATGCAGCTATGCTTCATATACGGAGCAGATTTAGCTAAACCCTCAAAATTTGCAAATATTATGGCAGAGCAGAACTAATATGGAACATTGGGGTTAGCTAAACCTGCAGCTTCATAAAAAAAATCAGAAAATTAGAACCCCGTCTGTGGCAGTGGAGAAGTTCATGGTAAAGTGGACGGAATGGAGCACCCCAACCTCCATCCATCCATCCCAGAAAGGAAGAACAACTCCAAACCAAAACCCCGCCCAAGTAACCTAGGGTTTACTTACCAGCTAAGGGAAGCAATCAAAATATCAAATCCAACGCCAAGATGGATCTAGGCTGCAAACAGGACCCATGCTCATAGCGGCAGTGGCGAGGGAAGGTGGAGAGGACGGGTGGATATGGATCTAGGGCTTGGCAGTGTTTCCACGCCGGCGCGAATGGGTAGAATGCCAAAAGAGGTGCAATAAGGTGGTACCCAGATTCAATTTGGAATGTCTATCTTTATTATCCGTTAACACACGCTTTGCGTTCACCTAAATCGAATCACAAGAACAAAGAACAGCTCATCTTCTTCTTCTTCCTCTTACAACAAGAACCGACTAACATGCTCCTCCTAAGAGTCCATTATCTAGTATATATGGATATAGTGTTAACTATCAAGTACTTGATAGGATTAGATATAATCAAAACATACTATGATGGCAGTGAAGTGCATTACAAATCATGAATATTATGCTTTCTTGCTACAAGCAACTACTCTGAGTTGGATTAAACAAATTTAATTATCAAACATTAGATTAAACAATCTAAAAGGTCTATTTTCAAGCAAGTAATCTGAACTAAACAAATTTCACTATCAAACATCAGGTTAAACAATCTGAGATATAATCTTCTAATCACATCAACATGCTCACTTCTTTGCTCATATTACAGTTTGACGCGGAACGCAATGAGAAACTATTTATGTTCATGGAAACAAGTAATCCACAGTATGCTTCTGAACACATAAATGGTAGACACCTCCCCCTCGCAGCTGCAGGATCACTAACGGCTGCTGAAAAGGGATGTTTCTGCAACTGTATCTCTCACATGTAGAAGTAGTCGAACAGTATAACTGAATGAACACACAGGTTTAAATGACAATGAACACGCAGGTTAAATGGCAGTGAACACAGAGGTTAAATGAACCATTGTTAATCTCATGTAAATTTTCCTGCAGGCTGCAGATACGGCAATATAAAGAAAAAGAAGTTCAATTGGTCATGTCCATGACGGCACGACCAGATGGGTGCTAGGGTTGGCCGGTTGGGGCTCACCTTGGGATCTTGCTACTCGTAGGGACCACGACTACCGGAGGCGGAGGAGAACGCGCACGCGGACACCGGAATCGAGGACGCCGAAGGGGAGTAACTGTGACCGAGTTGGGGCAGGCCCGCGTTGCTGCGAGATTAGTGGCCTGTCCCGGGGGCGGGGGGGGGGCGGGCATGCGCCCCGGTCCCGGTCGCGGGGATATGCGCCGTCAGTCGCCGGCCGCCAGGTATCGGGTGGCTGCCGGGGGCGGCGGCGGTGGCGGCCTCGCGACTCGCGGGATAGAAACACTGCAGTCTGTAGCTGGAGAATGGGCGACTCGCGGGGGAGCGCTGCCCGTGCCCGGTGTCATGAGGCCGGGCGTATTTCCACGGGGGAAACGGGCTGCCTCGGGGCCTAGACCGCGCGCCGTGGGCTTCCAAACTTGCCGCAGAGGCGGCCCGTGGAAACTTTCAGCCTTGGTTTCCAGAACAAAGGAATGGCCCGGTTCCCCTCGGAAAAATGGGCTTCCAACTAGTCAGATTTTCTCTTCCGTAATGTTTGGTTTAGTGCGTCCTGTACCAACCCCCGCACGTGACGACTAAGAAAAAAAAATGGTGCGCGCAGTTGCAATCAGGCGGGCCCACATCGGTCCTTTATGTGGGGCAGCGCGTGTGCAGCCACTAATTCGACATGGGGTGCATGCTACGTGGGGCAGCGCATGGGAGCTCGTGCGGCGTGGGCGCATGGGAGCTCATGCGGCCTCGCTCGGCGTGGGGTGCATGCGGCGCGTGGGGGCCTGTGCATGGGCTGTGACCGGAGAGAAGGACCGACAGAGAGAGGAGTGCAGGGCCTGCATACTCTATGGCATTGAGCTCCGTATGTTTCACGCGTTTAGATGTATATGTTTCATTTGGATGTTGCATGTGTTTCATCATGATGTTGTATGTGTTTCGTCTGGATGTTGCATATGTTGCAATGGCTATACATGTATGTTGCAAGTGTATGTTTCAAATTTTTCATCAGCTTTAGACGTATGTTGCAAGTGTTTTATTTAGATGTTGCAAATGTTTTAGTGGCTATATACGGTGGCGAAGCTAGAGCAAAATAGATGATGGTGCAACTACAAATAAATAATTAAGAGGTTTACCGAAATAAGTACCATTAGGATGATCAAAAACGTCAACATAGAAAAACATACATCGTTTAACTTCAAGTCATGAACATCTTCGACAATTTGATGGCCTAGAAAAAGAAAACAAATGACTTGTGATTAAAATTTCATTTTTTTCAACAAAAAAATGAACAAATGAAAATAAATATAATCAATTACCTTTAATCTTCATCTTGGAATCTATGTCCTTGCATTTTCATGAAGCGACGAACCACGATGTTATTCGTGACTTTCATCGTCTCTTCTTTGGCCCCGTTCGCGTGCCCTTAAACCCGGTTTGATCCGCTTATTTTTTTTATCCGGAACAGTATTTTTCTCTCACAAATTCCTCCAGCATTCCTCCAAACCATCCAGATTCCTCCAGAATTCAGACAAGCGAACGGGCTTCTCCACATAGCAAATAAGGCAATTATTCATAAATTCATCACCAATGCAATTGCACAAAGTTGTCTTCACAGTCTTCATGTGGGAGAAAATCCTCTCACTGTAGCAGTAGCAACAGGCAACGCTAGTACAAGCTTCATGAGTCAACTAGGTGAGCGGTCGTGCGTTACAACGGGAGAGTACTCACGTATACCTTAGTTATTTATTGCAATAATGCTATTACGAATCCCCTCAACAAAAAAATCTCAATTGAACTTTAAGATGGTCTATTTTTTATTATAACATCATACTTCTGCAAGGCATATATTCGTATTAAATAAAGACATATATTCGTCTTAAATAAAGACGTATAGACGACACATATGTTGTCCTCAAAATTAACTTTTTTATCGTTTGACGTGGAGCAAATCCATTTATTCAAAACAATGAGATGAGATGGCATTATTACCATTCAACACACTTAAGCATTTACGGTCTAGTTAGTTGATATTTGATATAATGTTAAATTCAGAAGTTATCAATTCACTGAACATGTACAGAAGAGAAGTTTGCATGAAAAATTGGTCAAAATCAACTATGTCTAGCTCTAGCACTATTTTGAATTTTTCTTGACACAGGTTCTGTGCATCCTGAAGGAACAAAGACGCAATCGTTTAGAAGACAAAAAAAAACCCTCTTCGTACACAGCGATAAATTTCAACTATATAAATACAAAGAGTTAACTTTGTAGGCGTAACAGTGGGGACATCTATATGTGGCATGAATAATCATTATTTGCTAAACTGAGTTGTGGCCTTGTTCAGTTGTTGATAGTGAAGGTGGTTATATCTGAATTACTAAAACTTCTTCCATGTTTGCAAACACAAGCTATCTTCGGCAATTAAGCAAACAACTACAAAGTTAAAAGATAATAAAATAATATGAAATATACTCAGAATGAGTAAATTTGATTAGAATTAAAGAAAAGCTTTACTTTAGCAGACTCGATCATGTTGACATCGCCTTGTACATATATGCCCGAATGGCCAATTCCATATAATTGTT